TGCTTCAGATGTTAGACATGGAACTACAGGACTTAATGTTTGCCTGGCTAGATTTTAGACTTGCTTTGGTTCCATTCCTTTGTATTCCTGTGCTTGTAACTTTTGGAATGAAAATGCTTATTTTTGCCATTAAATGTTTGAAGTGTTTAACTTTTCATTTGTTCAGGGGCTTGTCGTAAGAGTTTGCCTTACATCTTTTTTTTTTTTTTTGCCTTACATCTTGAAAGAGACTTGGTACTTGGACTTTTCAGCAATGCCGAAATTGTTAGGACTTTGGCAATTCTTACAGGTGGACTGAATGCCTTCGCATAAAGGGATGTGCATGAGTTTTTAGAGGGGACAGTATGGTTCTAATGTAATCTAATGTTGATAGACTTAATGCTGGTTTTTTTTAGTTTGTTTGTTTTTTTTTCCAGTACCAGGAATTGAACTCACAACCTCATGCTTGCCAGGCAGGCGCTGTGCCACTGGCTAAATCCTCAGCCCCCAATGCTGGTTCTTAAAGATAGTTAAACCTGTGTTATTATGTTCAAGTTGTAAAATGACAAGAATAATGTCTTTGTATCTGAAAACTGGTTTAAAGAGATGTGCCTGGTTGCCAAGTTGACAAGGGGTAGATTGTTATGGTTGACACAATGTGTTAACTGAGGAGTCTAGAAGCTTAACTAAGTAACTCGGAAGTTTTACATCCTGGGGTAAAGAGGACTTGCCCTTCCTGCTCTAGGATGTTCACTGTGTCAATTTGAGAAGTTTAGAAGGTTAATTGTGTGACTGAGCAGGGGCTGGGTCCTTACCTGGTATTCATCCTGAGCCTGTGCAAGAGGAGGGCATGGAGATTGTGTGAGTGCTACACACCTCCTGGGTGGAGATAGCCTCCTTACAATATAAGGGGGAAAAAGAGGCTTGTTCCTCCCCTCCTTGTGCTCTTATTGCTTTTGCTGTTGTCCACCGCCTTGAAGTGTTGCCCTCTGCCATGTACCCCTCTGCTTTGGAGCCAGCTAAGTAGGGACTGAAACCTCCACAAACTGTGAGCTAAATAAACCTGGCCTTCCTTAATTTTGGGCATCAGGGTTTTTGTCTCAGCAATGAGAGAAAAGTAACCAAGACAATATGAAGTCACATTTACTTATATTTTATAGGGATATATAAAAAAAAAAATGGGAACTTTGGCAGGAACTCATATTCAAGTTATTTTCTTATATATAGGTAGAGGATAGATAGATAGATAGATAGATAGATAGATAGATAGATAGATAGATAGATGAGACACATTGTGGAAAAAAATTGGTAACCTGGAAGCAGCTATTAAAATGTACATGAATGCTAGTATAATAATAGATGTTTGAAAACATCCTCCAGAGAATTGTGTGCATTCTGTTTTAAAATTCTTAGAATGTACCCTCATATATTACTGGTAGGAATATAAAAAGAACCATTTTTATATTGATTGTACAGATGTCTCAAAAAGTAAAAATAAAAGCTTGCATTTGATCCCGGTAAAGCTCCATGTGCATATACTAAAAGGATTTAACAATATCATGTCTCAGTGATATATATGTACTTATACCTACAGCAGCATATGCATGTTTTTGCATATTAGGTAGATTCTGGAAATAATTCACAATATCTAAACTGTGGTAAGAGCCTAGATGTCAATCACTGTATGCATGGAAAGGTGAATGTGGGATAGATCTAACATGGTGGTGGCCTCTTACATTCCCAGCATTCTCATAAGCAGAGCCAGCAAGGTGACAACATGAAGTTCACACTGACCTAAAGAATGATCAATTAGAATCTCTCTAAAAATAAGAAATTAAAAAAAAACTAGAGATGTATTTTATTACTCAGACCTTTTTTAAATCTCAGCACTGAAAAAATATAGTATATGTATTCAGCTAAGCAAAAACAAGTTTCTCGTATCTTCTGGCAAAGAAAGGATGGGAATCTCCCTCATAATTTTAAAAGCAGTATGTCAGATACAGATATTGAATTACCAAGTGTCTTCTACCTTACATGAGGTACTAAAATATAAATTAGAGAGTAAAAATAAGAGATAGAAGGGGAGAGTGTTGTGGGAAAGATATCAAAATGATCGTATGTGTTACACATATGAATTAATGACCTAAATTCAACTTGAATTTATGGATTGCAAACATACACATATTTGGAATTAGCAAATGAATACCATCATTTGGTAATTTGGAGGCATCCTCCTGGCCTTTCATCCTATTCATTCTGAAAATATCTTAGCAGGCACCAAGCCATAAGTTGTCCTGATAAATTATTAATATGGTGGCCATTTTATTATGATTGACATTTTGTTTCCTCACAGAAATGAAGAGGTAGCAATGTTCTATCAATATAAAGCTTTCAATCAACATGAAAACATATTCCTTCAGACTTCAGATGCTAATGTGAACATGCAACACACTGTTTTAAGGCCACATGGAAGTCCTGTTTTTGGAGAGCCCCTAATTGGGAATTTATCATTGAATGTGCTCATCTCACCTCACCCTGGAGAGAAGCCACATGGGTATTTGGGATTTGATGGCAAACTGAATAAATGCAATGAACATGGAGAAATCTACATTGCTTTCCTGTTGTTTCAGAAGCATGCAAGGGCAAACAATGGAGAGAAACCCTATCAATATGAACATTGTGTGAAATCCTACTCAGAACTGAGTGAAGTATCTCACCCTGGAGAGAAGACCATTGTTGGTCAGAAAAGTGTGAAAGACTCCAGCACCCCCAGAGGTTTTCAAATCCATGAAAGAAATAACACTGGGAAGAAACCATATGTATGGAAGCAATATGGAAAAATCTTCAATACTCAAGGTTATGAAATTCCTGAAAGGATACACATGGAGAAGAAACACTATGTATGTAAACAATGTGGAAGAACATTCCATACACACAGTTCCTGCCAAAGACATGAAAGAATTCACACTAGGGCAGAACTGTATGTATGTAAGCTATGTGGGAAATCATTCAACAGATACACTCAATATCAAAGCCATGAAAGTACTCACACTGGGGTGAAACCTTATGTGTGCAAGAAATGTGGAAAAGCATTCACTACAAAGGCCTATTCTAACATACATGAAAAAATTCACATGGGGGAGAATCCTTATGTGTGCAAGCACTGTGGGAAAGCATTCTCTGCCCCCCAATCCTGTCAAAGACATGAAAGAACTCACACTGGGGATAATCCTTATGTGTGCAAGCAATGTGGGATGGCATTCACTTCATATGATTTTTATCAGACACATGTAAGAACACACACTGGGGAGAAACCTTATGCATGCAAACATTGTGGGAAGGCATTCACTAGACGCTATAGTTGTCAAATACATGAAAGAACACACACTGGGGAGAAACCTTACATGTGTAAGCACTGTGGGAAGGCATTCTCTGCCCGCCAGTGTTGTCAGACACATGAAAGAACTCATACTGGTGAGAAACCTTATGTGTGCAAACATTGTGGGAAGGCATTCACTGCACTCCGTAATTGTCAAATACATGAAAGAATTCACACTGGGGAGAAACCTTATGTGTGTGAGCACTGTGGGAAGGCATTCACTACTCAGCGATCTTGTCAACTACATAAAATTACACACACCGGTGAGAAACCTCATGTGTGCAAGCAATGTGGAAAAGCATTCTCTCTAAAGACTAATTATAAAATTCATGAAAGAATACACACTGGTGTGAAACCTTATGTGTGCAAGCACTGCGGGAAGGCATTCACTACACACCGATTTTGTCAAGTACATGAAAGAATACACACTGGGGAGAAACCTTATGTGTGCAAACATTGTGGGAAAGCATTCACTGCACAAATTAATTGTCAAAAACATGAAAGAACTCACACGGGGGAGAAAAATTATGTGTGCAAACATTGTGGGAAGGCATTCACTACAAAATATTCTTCTCAGATGCATGAAAGAACTCACACTGGAGAGAAACCTTATGTGTGCAAACAATGTGGGAAGGAATTCACTACATACCAGTATTATCAAGGACATGAAAGGACACATACTGGGGAGAAACCTTATGTGTGTAAACAGTGTGGGAAGGCATTTACTACACTCCAGTCTTGTCAAATACATGAAAGAACTCACACTGACAAGAAAACATATGCATGTAGGACATGTGGAAGAAGATTTGCTAGTAAATCCTCATTTTATTTACATAAATCTCACACTGGGGAGCAACACTGCATATAAACATTGTGGAGAAGCATTCAGTGAACACATTTGCATCACCTACATGAAGTCACACTGGAAAGGGACCCTACGTATGTAAACCTATTTGGAAAAGCTTGAAAAAATTCTTCATATAGTGGAGAGCTGTACACATACATATGAAAAATCTGATGTCAGTATTTCTTCATGAGTTTTCCAGAAAATACACTCCCAAATGGAGATCTCTTAGAATGTATTCTGTTTTACAGTAAATCACTTGTAAATAACTGAACTGAGTACCTATAGTGTTTACAAGACACAATATTGGCATAGCACATTTTTATTTAATTACCCTTGAACCTAATATGTAGTATTTTCTAATAAAACAAGGTGATTTAAAATGTATTTCTCACTCTCAAGTAGGGTTAGTATTTATGTAGTTTTTATTATTATTATTATTTTACTATGGAGAGGTACAGGCTGTGAAAAAATAAATTTTATTGTTTTTAATTGAGATTTCCCATTAGCTTTGTTCAACATTTTCTTGGTGTATATACCGCATATTCTGTATGGAAATGATGACTTTGAATTTGATGTTATAAGATCTGTGTAAACGTATGCATAGAGATGTTTGAACATGTATTTTTTAAAAGTTCCTTTATTTACACACAACTTATAGATTAAGAAATGTTTTGTTTTTCATCTCCTAAATAGACACCTGCATGTATCCCAACATAACTACATAAAACACATAATTTCACCTATTTTACTTTCTTGTGAAAGTGAGTACTATGATTTACATAAAATTGTGTTTTCTTAACATCAACATTTTACTTTTCATGCCTATATTGTTATGACTTTCAATTTATGGTAATTTTACCACAATTTATACCAGAAAACTAAACAGACTGCTGTGAGTTTCTGATGGAGGTGTATCAGATGAACAGTGCCTTGTTTATTAAAGGATATCATGAATTGCAATACTGTATCAGTTAGTGCTTACTAGAGAAGCAGTTATAATGTGAGATATACAAACATGTAAGAATTTACAAGATTGGCTTATAATCGCTCCTGACACACTCAAGTGTGGAAGATTGCAAAATGTCTGTCTGTGCAATATATATTCAAAAAATCTAGTCAAGGCCTGGAGACCACTGTAGTGTCCTTTGTACGTTTGTGTCAGCAGAGCAAGGGTATATGCCAGAAGACTGAGGTCTGAGCTAGAGGCTGAATAGTCTATGCTGGCAGCCAGGAGATGGCTTCCAGTGTGACAGTGAATACTGGCTCTCCTCCACAGAAACACATGTATGCCTTCTTTGTTACTAACATTCTGGCAGCAATCTTTTCTAGGGTGAGTCTTCCATGTATATACCTTTGCTGAGCAAATTTAGTTGGGCATGTAGTCCTTAGCTTGAGACAATCAGTTAACTCTATATCTGCCCCCTGACCAATCCACAAATACACACATTTCTTTAAAGCAGTCTTCAGGCACAAAGACAAGTTCATAAATATACCTGACGTAACTGTCTTGCCTACAAATGGAAATGCACTAATTTCCCTGTCTTGAATAGACGGGAAGTTTTTTTAAGTGGGGTGTGATGGATACTCCTTATATTTCAAAACTGGAACACTGTAGCAGGTTTAATAAGATTTACTCCATCAACTTATTACAGTGGAAGAATATTAGGAAAGATCTGTTACAGTCCTCATTTCTGTAACTGATCACGAGGCCATACCTTGTTTTTAGAACTAGTTTTGTGACCCATTCTGTATTCCTTGACTTTTAGCAAGCGTCTTAGTGTGTCTTGGTTCTTTCCATCATGTGGAGACCCTTACCTTCATTACTGAAGTTTGGTGACCATTTGACTTTCTGCCTTGTTGGATGGTAATAGTTTCCCATTCACTTTTTTGGCAGCATGCTAATAATAGAAGACACCCTAAGTGATCTCCTGCACTCCAAGTATATTTATTTCCTCCATTATGGAGTAATAGTAAGATTTTCCCAGGACAGTTTGGGTCAATGAAGTCTATAAACAAGGCAACTACCTTTTTAAGTTTTATTCCTCATAGTTATCTGACCAGAATGACCAAGGGGAACATTTCACTTCCAGTTCATAGTTATCACTATTCTTCCAGGTACAGACCTCCCCACCTCTGGAACTAAGTCTTCTTTCTAAGCCAGCAGAACAGACGATCATGAGAAGGGGGTGTGAATTTTTGATAGTATAGTAACACTATAGGTGACAGTGAGTGGTACTACTTACTTCCAACCCTTTATTCCTGGACCCATGAATCTTGGCTATGGGAGACACTGTACCATATAGTGGATGCTGACTCAGAGCATAAACAAAGCATTTTGAAGAGCCTTTCTCCAGCCCTATAAGGTATTTCTATCTAACTGGTGATGCAAGTGTGTCTTCAAAAGATCATTCCAAATTTCTATCAATCCAGAAGCTTCTGGATGGTGAAGAACATGTAAAGACCACTGAATTCCATAAGCATGAGACCATCACTTTTTTGGGCATCAAATGTATTCCTTGGTAGCATGCTAAGAACTGTTTCTCAAAGGCAGAGTAGTTTCTGCATATTATGGCAGAATCTTACTCCAAAATCCTAAATGCCTCCATAGTAATTGACATATGAGTGCTGGCAGATACTACAGATAGCATCACTAAAACCACTAACACTTGAAAATCCACTGGATTTCCTAGATCACATGACCACAGTGGCAGAGCAGCCTGCACCACGGAATGGAGCTGTTGCGGAGTCTTCAGGGCCCCTGAAGACTCAAATATAGAAGCTTCAAATATGGAAGCTTCAGAGCCACTTAGAAAATGATCCAGAGTGAAGCTCATAAATGAGGAAGGTCTGCAATATCTGCAATATCCAAGTAGGCCCAGTAGGCACTGTGACTCTTCTCTGTGATAGGAAAAGCCAGATAACACATCTCTTACTTCAGAAAGGATATTTGTACATGCCACAAATGATTGAACTCATAGAAATTTCACTGTGTTAGAAGAACGTGAATTTTAGACTTTTTTCCCATCCTCTGGCTCTGAAATATGTAACTAACAGATTCACAGCAGTTTCTAACTACTCACATGGTCCAGTCTGCATAATATATTGTAATGTCCCGAGGAAGAGAAAGGTGATCAAGTTCTCTGCAGACTAAGATGTGACACAGGGCTGGAAAGTTAATATTACAGTGAAGTAGAACAGTGAAGGTGTATTGCTGGTATTCTCCATAAGCTCCTTATTTCATATGAGCCGTTAGGATAGGTATGGAGAATGAAGGCATTTGCCAAATCAGTAGCTGCTAACCAAAGCAGGGTATGGCCTAATCTTTTCAATCAAAGACAGCACATCTGATACAGTAGCTGCAACTGGTGTCACTACTTGATTCAGTTTGTGGTAATGTACCTTCACTCTTGAGATCCATCCATCTTCTGCATAGGGCAAATTAAAGAATTAAATGGTGATGTAATGGGAAGGACTAGTGAATTCTTCAAGGCATTGAAAGTGGCAATAATCTCTGAAATCCCTCCAGGAAAGCACTACTATTGTTGTTGTTATTATTATTATTTGTTTTTACAATTTTCCCCAGGAAAGGAAATTATAATGGCGTCTGTTTGGCATTTCCAATTATGCTAGCCTGCACACAACAGATTAAGGAACCAGTGTGAGGGTTCTGGCAAGTACTGAGTATATCCCAACTGTGCACTGTGAAAGTGAGAAATAATTACAGGATAAATTTCAGGATATACAGTTATAACAGGGAGTTGGACTTTTGCTGAAATTCCATTGATTACCTAAACTCCACAGGCCCCTACACTTACTGGAGGGCAACAGTGATATTTTGAATCTCATGGAAGCAGGGATGGTTCAGTACCATTGTCCCCTAGTTCCTAAATTTCCATGTTCCTCAATTTACAGTTATACTGATGAAAGTTTTTAGGTCTTATTGGGGAATAATTGGAGAAAGAGTGACCATGTAAAATTTTGGTGGTTCACTGGAGTCCTTTCTCAAGGGGTTCTGGGCCTGTACATTGGCTCATACCCAGGAACTTGTTAGGAGCTTTGATTCCCTATTACTTTGAGCTGAAGTAGGTCTTTGTTCATTTGCCCTTATGTAATTTTTTTATTTTATGCATCTAGTAAAATTTTTGTAGGCTTTCCATCTGTTTCACTTTTATGAACACCATGGATAATCAGCAAATGCCATAGGTCTACAGGTGCCAGATTATTCTGATCATTGTAGTTTTTCTGCTGTACAGTTTCATAAATGCCTGCACGTTGCAATTGGGAGTTATGTGTTGCCAGTTGGCCTCTACCATTTTAGGATCCAATCAAACCCATTTTCCCCCATTGCACATCTCTGGTCCCCACTCTAAGGTCTGGCATACAGAGAAGAGCAGTGACACAGCTCTTCAGGGATATTGGTGCTCCCTGCATGAATCCATTTCTCAAGGTTTTACTGAAGGTATCATTTTCTGGAACATTCCAATGTGGCACATTAGTATTGACATAACAGATCCATTGTAGCATTAACATTTCAATAAGTCTCTGAATGCCCTCATCAATAGTAAACCATGAAATGTAAGACACTTCTGACTCATTCACAGTGGGCCATATTTTGATCCATACTTCTGCCAACCAGTGAAATAAAACATTTCTTTACCCCATGAGCCACAACATTAAATTCAGAATCACTGCTTCACGGGCCACTGTCAATAAATTCAGCTTGATCCAGTTCTGTCATTTTTACTTCATTATCCTGCACATAAAATTCATTTCCGTATTGCTCATTAAGCCTTTGATTGTCATAGAAAACTCAAGTAGTTCTTTGAGAGAAGAGTGGACCTCCTCAAAGGTCACACTATGTACCTCACCCTTAAGAATTTCTTTCAATTTGTATCTAGTTGTAGGCATTGAAACAATTGTGCATGGTAAGGGTGAGTCCAAAATAATGTCAGTATTATCAGGCTTGGTCAGTATAGAATCAGTTTCCTCAGATATACTAGCAGAAGCTAACTCTGCTGTGGTGGGTATGTGTCTGCCTTTAACACAGCATAGGGAAATCTCTTCCTCTGAAAAAATAATCCCATAAGAGCTTAGATGCTCATCAGCCTCAGCAGGGTCCTCCTAAATATTTCCATTCCAGTGAACTAGAACCCATCCTGTTCTGATCAGATCCCTTATCTTTAGTTTATATACCCTTTGAGGCTGAGCATTACAGTGATATAGTTTTTGAAGATATCAGTATATAATACAACAAACATTGTTAATTTCCTACCACTTTGTTTGTAACTCTGTATTGTCTGTACTGTTCTTTTGCTATTTTGTAAAACATTGTCTGTCTATGTTTTCCTCCTTTTATTTTTAAAATTAAAAAAATAAATAAAGTTACATAGTTTTTCAGCTAGTCCAATTACAAGAGTCCATGTTTGGGTTTTTGCAATCTTAAATCAGGTGCCTAAAGGTAAGAGATTACCTTTCAGTTAGAAACTTTTATGGTATTTTGTGTGTTTTAAGCTAGGAATTTGAATCTTAGAATTCCTTGTTTTCTTTAAGTTATTTACCCTTACATTTAGAAGAATTTGATTGCTTGTGAATTGGTTGAGCTAATTGTTGTTCTTCATTAGTTTGTCCAAAGATGCTATGAGCAACCAACAATCATCATTACATTTTCCACTCTGCCAGAAACATTTTAAAATTTCATGTATAGAGTCACTAAATTCTTTTCATTTCCTAAGTAGTGAATTAGGACAATAAAATGGATCTACACTGTGTATTACTTTAAACAGTTCAAAGCACAGATTATTACTATTCCACACAGTACTAGAAAGATAGACCATACCAATCTTAGATCTCATCAAACTAGAGAGCCAACACCAGGGATCACTAATGCCATTCAAGAATTTCATTTTTGCAATTGTCCTTCACTAGAGTCACTCCCAGTACTGAAATCTGTATCAGTCAGT